TATATATATATATATATATATATATATGTATGTATATATATATGTATGTATGTATGTATGCTAAAAATAGATCAAAGCCGCTCCGCTGCCCTTCAGCTCTAACAGCTCTCCAAAACTCACGTGTTACCAATTAGAATCCCCATTAATTAAAAACCAACCAAAAACAAAGAATCCTAAAACGAATTTAGCGTCGAACCACATAAATGAAAACCGAAATCCAGACTTCCCATCTTTTTCAAAACATATAACTAAATGCAAAAACTGCTAAATCATGTAAATATCTCGATTAATTAAAGTGTAACCAAAGTACCGAAAGTAAATTTAACTCAGTTAATTAATTTTACTAAACTAAAAATCACAAAATCAAATTTGCCCAAAAAAAGAAAATAAAGAGCTGCCTAACGAAATTCAAAAAAGTAATTTAAAAAACTTGCTAAAAATACATCAAAGCCGCTCCCTAAACCTTCAAAACTAAGGTCTCTCCAAAACTCTTCTATTAATACGAATCAGAATCCTCATTAATCGACCAAACCATAGATTCTTCAATTTCTATTTCCCATCACTAATTCTTCTGCAATGAGCGTTGAGATCTTAGACGGCAAAACCATCCGCCAGTTCGTGGAAGACGAGCCAGCCTTCAATGCATTCGTAGAACGCCACTTCGCTAGCCTCGACACCGACCATGACGGCGTGCTCTCTTTCACGGAGATGGCGAAGGAGCTTACGAACATTCGGCTGCTGGAAGTCCACTTTGGCATTGACGGCAATCGGCCGAAACCTGAAGAGCTGGACGAATTGTACAGAGGTATATACAAGAAATTCGATAGAGATGGCGATGAAAATGTGGATTTGGAGGATTTTAGGGCGGAGATGAAGGAGGTGTTGCTTGCGGTGGCGGAGGGGATGGGATTCATGCCGGTTCACATGGTGGTGGAAGAAGGAAGTTTTCTTAGGATGGCTGTGGAAAAAGAGAGAGCTGACCTCTGACCTCTGATTTGCATGGTTGATTAATGCCGTTGTTTTGCATTTTTTTTATTGTTTGAATTCTGTTATTTTGCTTCATTATAGGATATGGATTAATTATATTTTTAATTTGTTATATATATGACGTTAATATTGTAATTGATTTGCTTGGTGCGAGCTGCTTGATGAACGATTTTAGCAACTAATTTGGTGGGTTTTATTTGATCATTGTTTGTTGCATTTTCTTAATTACAAGTTTGATTTTATTTTAATGCACTTCTAATAATAGTATGTATTCAGTCAATTAGTTCTCCATGTCCCTAGAGCCAATTTGAAGATGGAATATTTTAAATGCATGAAAGTTATCAATTGTATGTAACCTGTAAATTAAAAATTAAAAAAAGATATAGTTCGGAGTTTTACCAGAAATTTTGATATTTCTGCGAGAAATTGAAAATAGATGAGATGCCTTTCGGATTTTCGTCAAACCACTAGAAAACCTGAGAATTAGTTAGCCGTGCTTTCATGCATTTAAAATATTCCGTCTTCAAATTGGTCAGTCAATAATAGAATATTTGCATACTGGAAAGCTGGCGGAGGACAAGTCAGCAGCACACCACATCACAAAAAGGCTCGTCTTACGCTCTATTGGGTGGCGTCCTCTACAGAAGATAGTTCGATCAAATGTGGCTACGATGTTTAAGTAAACCAGAAGGACAAAATATTGTCAAAGAAGTACATGTCAGATTGTGTGGCGCTCACCAGTCAGGGCCAAAGATGAAAATGAAGATCAAGAAACTCAGACATTATTGGCCGACAAAAATGTCTGACTGCATGGATACAACCAGAAGATGTCTCCAGTGTCAAGTGCATGGGGTGGTATTGCACCAACCCCCGAATGTGTTGCACCCAATGGTCATCTCGTGGTCATTTGAATGTTGAGGAACGGATATAATAGGTCTGATAGACCCTCCGTCTTCCAAAAGACACAGATTCATACTCACCGCTATAGATTACTTTTCCAAATGGGTAGAGGCAGTACCGTTATGAGAGGGTACGAAGAGGTTACGACACAACACGTCCTTTAATTCTTCAAAAATCAAGTCGTCTACCGTTTTAGAGTACCGTGAAAAATAATTTCTGATAATGGGACAGTCTTTAAAAGCACAAAATCAACAACTTAGTCAAACAGCACGGGATAAATTGGAGGTACTCAACAATTTACTATCCCAAGGCAAATGGCTTAGCTGAAGCCTTCAACAAGACGTTGGTACAGATTTTAAAGAAGACATTGGACGATAACAAAAGATATTGACACAACAAAGTATTATAAGCCTTGTGGGCCTACCAGACGATGTTTAGGACTCCCCCTCAATGTACACCCTACATGCTCGTGTACGGGTCTGAGGCCGTACTACCGTTAGAAGTTCAGATGCCGTCTCTCAGATTCGATGTTGCCAATAAACTGACAACAAAAAAAGTGCAAAACTCAAACTCGAAGAACTAGAGAGTCTTGAAGGAAAACAATTAGATGCACAACAACATTTGGAGCTTTATCAAGCAAAGATGGTACAAGCTCAAGAAAAATTGGTTTGCCAAATGACATTCAAAGTTGGTGACTTTATCCTCGTGCTCAAAAGACCCATTCTTGCAAACCGCAAGATAGGTGAAAAATTCGAGCTAACTTGGGAGAGACCATTTGTCATTGGAAAGGTCTACGCAGGAGTAGCCTACCAGCTAGTGGATTTCTGGGGTGAAAGACCCATGCTGCCAATCAACGGACGATACCTGAAGACATATTACGCAGCCTGATATTGCTTGACATCGCTTGATTTGAAATTTTAAAATTTTGATTGTTCTGGGGTTATCTATTTGGCCAAACGTTTGTGACCAGGTCCAAAAATTTTGTAATAAAATTAACCTCAATATAATGAAAATTTTTGAAATTATACACTTCGATTTTCTCTTTTTTAAATTTGATATTCTACTAAATTAAACAAAATACACACATAAATAAATAATTTTTTCACCAACATAAACTAAAATTTTCTTTAGTAACTTCTTTGTTTTGTTCTTGTTCAAGATAAGTTTCAGCTCACTGATATTTTTCCTGTCGTCTGCAGAGAAATGTCAGGCCAGAGACTGATCTTTGCTTTTAAAGATAGTTGGAACCTCGCACTCAACAAGGAAATTGCATCGCAAGGTGGCACCATAGACTTTGACATGGACTTCAGTCAAGTCGACATGGACTATGAGGGTCATGTGGTTAGCCATCAGGAAAAAGAAGGGCTATCATCACTGCTAAAGATTGGCGCCAGAGATAATTCCTCACTGAGGGGGGAAAATGTGATAGTACTGCAAGACCCGAGGGAGGGGACTAGTCATCTTCCGTTTATGATAGCTACGCCGACTGGAGGCCTAGTTGCTGCCAATGATGAAAGAGTTCCAGAAGCACCGCTACGGAGAACTCGGCGCAGGAATTCGTCGAAAGCATAGGGCTTTCTTACGGGAAGAGAAAAAGCGCGAGAAGGAGGCGGAAAACTTGCTCACCCCTATTCTTGAGGGGAATATCTACGATCCAGGCATGAGAGAGACATCTTCCAGCTTGCCTACTATAGACGATGAGTTCGAGTTCGTTACAAAGCCGGAGATACCACCAGTTTCATATGTTCTTTGTATAGGTTGCTTGATCCCTGGATACTGCTAATATGCATATTACAACAATAATTCAGATTATATTTCACTTATATTTCCTTACTTTGCAACAAAACCAAAAACTTGATCATGAAGAAAAATAAAAATTTAACTTTCAATTTATATATATTGGGATATTATGTAAGTATATGTAACGTTATCAAGCAATATAGGACTTTTTGATTAAGACTTGAATATCAAACCCACAGGGAGAATGCACAATATGCACTATTAAACAACAAACTTTCTATTTTTAATAAAAAGATAATTATCTATTACAAACTTTCTATTTTTAATAAAAAGATAATTATCTAAACTAAAGATGATTTTTACATAAATGAAAACTTAAATATTTTTAGTATTTTTAATATTTTGATAGAACAATAACAATTTAAAAAATTAACTAGAGTTTTTGTAGAAGAAAAACACTAAATATGAAAATATCTTTCTTCTTGTTATGAATTAGTAATAAGTATAGGAACTCTGTTGTGGAAGTATGAAAATTGTGTTGTGCTAAATTAGAGCAATAATATTCTTTACCCTTACTAGAGATGCTATAAAGAATATTGGCTAATTTAAAGTTTGAATTTTTCTGAAGACCGGCTAGGCAGGGAAGATACTAGCTCTCACTCTAGAGTTCCCTCGATTCCCTCTACCCGGGGGCTAACATCTCTTATCATAACCTAAAACAATAAACCAAGTTGGGGGCTTTAACCTGTCACTTTAAAGTTCTCTAACTCTACACTCTTTAATGAATATTTCCATATTTATTTGCACTCAATCATATGAACTACATTCTCATTCATACAACCTCATGTGATTCTTTCCAATTGTTGACTGAGATAATACCTGCCCGGTTCTTACATATGCTCACAACAAATTTTAACATCTTGATTGGCCAAATTAAGAAGTAAATGAAGTGCATGGATTTAAATTATCACAACTTCTTTTATCATTGAAGGTCAATACTTTCCACAACTTCCGTAAAAAACTTAATTACTTATCATTTTAAGAAGAAAAATAAAGAAAACTACTCAGAATCCATAAAGAAAATAAAACCACACTTTAGTTTAAAGAAAAAATTTATTGTCAAACCAACAACAAGTCTCAATTAAAACCAAAAGTAGTCTCAAAACAAAAAGATAAAAACTTATCTCAAGTCCTCCATCAAACTCTTGAAGTTCCTTTGATTCCCTTTTTTTTACAATCACTCAAAATAAAATAACAAAAAAGATAAAATAAAAGTAAAAGTGGTGCCTGAAAATCTCTCCGAACTAACTCCCCAAATGAAAACTTTCAAAACTTTTCAATACTTTCAGGACTCTTTTCTAAGTCATCTATTCTTTCTTTTATAATTTTTCAAAAGGTGTCTTGGTTTCTCTTCAAAATATGTCTAGATTCGATGTATGTCCCCAAGAGATGCATCCTTTCGTGATAATTTTCGTCCATGGTGTTATAACCACCTATTAAGCCAATGGGTGCCTCAAAAATCTCTTCAAAATTCACTTAAACTGAATTTACTTGTCCAATAACTGCCACTGACACTTAAGCGTGGGGCCTCTAGAGCTTAGGCACGGACTTCTTTATTTAACTGGCGCTTAAGAGCCGGATCTGGTGCTTAGGCACCAAAACTCTTTTGCACATTTTTCACATTTTCCTCCAAATTTGATCCTGTGTCACTCCTTTAAGCATTTTTCACCCTTTTTACTTGTATCTGCAAAAAAAACACAAAAATACCTTCCATAAACACAAAAATAAAAAAAAACACAAAAATACCTTCCATTTAAGCGCAATATCTCAAAAATAGGTATAGTACTTTGGAGGAGTACGAGTCCACTGACAATGGATTTCAGTTCGTTAATTTTCCAATGGGGGAACCACATGTCCCGTTCGGTACAGAGCCATATACCCCGTTGGATATAGAGTCATACATTCCGCTGGAGATAGAAGCAGCACCAGCCTGGATTCCCATCGATGTTGAAATGAAGGAACATCCGAGACAGCCACCAATTATCAACATGACAAAATACTACAAAATGAGTAAGGTAAGCAAAAGTGATTTTGAATTCTATGAAGAAGTTCAAGGAAGGTTCATTAATATACTAGAAGGCTTGGGGCTATATACTAGGGGCTTCTCCGAAAGCGATAAAAGAAGTATTCTTGATTGCATTTTTTATCTAAGAGACAGGGGTCGAGCAGGCCTGCTATGAAAAGAACCTATTCTGAGCCACGAAAGTGGATGCGTGGAAAGGGCAGGATCACCATACAATGTGACTGCTGTTATAACTTCATTAAAGATGGACAAGGAAATCCTCCTGGGATTCTAAGCACGATTAGGTGGATCTGCTACCCCCCATAATAAAATAGATGATTAAGAGAATGGTTCGATGGAGCATATTGCTAGCTGACTGTATTTGCAACAGCAGTATCATCAACATATATGATGAAGGCGACTGCATACCCCCACACATTGACAATCATGACTTTGTGAGACCTTTCTGCACGGTC